TCTGCATTACTAAGTAAAGTTTGATCGCGATCTGTGAAGTAGTTTGTTTACAGTCGCTGGTTACGTCAGTCTATGTTCTGATTGCTTGCCGAATTTTATAATGAACAACTATATTGAACAAAGAATTTGTCTTAAATTTTGTGTTGCGAACAAAATTTCTTGTACTGACGCGTTAAAAATGTTGCAGAAGGCTTATGGTGATGCAGTTTTATCGAGAACACGTGCTTTTGAGTGGTACAAAGCATTCCAAGAGGGTCGTGAGATTGTCGAAGACATGCCTCGTTCGGGACGACCATCCACCTCTCTCACCGACACTAACATCGATGCAGTGAAGGAATTTATTTTTGAAAATCATCATGTCAGCTTACGAGAGATAGCACAAGTCCTGAACATCTCTCACGAGTCAATTCGTACCATTTTGACTGACCGTTTGGGTATGAAACGAGTCGCTGCACGGCTTGTTCCAAAAGAGCTGAATTTCCTGCAAAGAGAATACCGAAAGCAGGTGTCTGCTGACATGCTGCATCGCGCTAATTCCGACTCCACGTTCATGGAACGTATCATTACAGCTGATGAGACGTGGATGTATGAATACGACACACTTACAAGTCAACAATCGTCCGAATGGCGACCGAAAGATGCTCCAAAACCGAAAAAACCGCGCCAAAGCAAGTCGAAAATTAAGGTTTTGCTCATTGTTTTCTTTGATATTCACGGTCTAGTGCGTCATGAGTTCGTGCCACCGGGACAGACGGTCAATAAGGAGTATTACTTGACTGTACTTCAGCGCTTGCGTGAAAGAATTCGGAAAAAACGACCGAAATTGTGGGCAAACAATTCGTGGATTTTTCACGACGACAACGCGCCGCCGCATCGAGCTACCATTGTCAACGAATACAAGGTCAAAAACTCGATAAATACCATCGAACAAGCTCCGTATTCGCCAGATTTAGCTCCGTGCGACTTCTTTTTGTTTCCTCGACTCAAGTTGCCGCTTCGTGGAACCCGTTTTAGCACCATTGAAGACATTAAACAAAATTCGGCACGGGAGTTGAAGGCTATCCCGGAAAACGCTTATAAAAAATGTTTCGAAGACTGGAAGAATCGCTGGCATATGTGTATTGCCTCTAATGGGGACTACTTTGAAGGCGACCAAATAAATTTGGATGAATAAATAGAAAATGTGAGTGTTATTAACCCAGTCCCGGTACTTTTTTGACAGAAGGTGTAGAACATCGAGTTTTTTAAATACCCTTAAATCGAGAAAAATTTTCAAAAAAATCAACAACTATTTTAAATAGCGACCATAGGAAAGATCGAAATATCTAAATAGAATAAACGGAAATGAACGGAAAAAGGATAAAATCGTTGTTTTTCATCAGAAAAGCATAATTTTTCAAATGTAGAGTTTTTAAATGACTGTTGAATTTCGAACTAATATCTTAAAAATCGGACTACTATTCATATAGCCTTCACATGAACAATCGTCGAAAATGCAGAAACTTCATAGAAAAATCGACATAGTTTCGATTTTGTTTAGCCTCTATGTATTTGATTCGACATATTTGATTGCTGCAAGAGTATACAAGATTCGACTTGTCGAAGCTTGCTTCCTTTTTTTATTTTTCCGTTATTTTTTCGATATTTCCTATAGGAGCTTTCCGATTTAGTTGCCCAGACCAGCCTTTTCCGGCTTATACGAGGTGTGTTCAAAAAGTATCGCGAATTTTCTGTTTTTTCAAAAATTATTTATTTATTCATGAATATCTATTTTGTCCCCTTCAGAGTAATCCCCATAAGATAATATGCACTTGTGCCACCGGTATTTCCAATCTTTGAAGCACTTCAAAAAATCATTTTTTTTTTATCTTGTTCAGCTCCTTCTTCGATGCCGTCTTTATCTCGTCAAGCGTAGCGTAACGTCGTCTTTTCAGTTTAGGAAACAAGAAAAGGTCACAGGGGGCCAGATCCGGGGAATACGGTGGCTGCGTCGTCATCATCATTAGTGTGTTGTTTTTGGTCAAAAAGACGCGCACAAGCAACTATGTGTGAGCAGGGGCGTCATCGTGGTGCAAAAGCCAATTTTTGTTCTTCCACAAATCCGGGCGTTTCTGGCGGATGGCTTCGCGCCAGTTGCGCATAACTTGCAGGTAATATTCCTTATTGACCGTTCTTCCCAGTGGCAAGAAGTCATGATGCACCACGCCCCTACAATCGAAGAAAACTGACAGCAAAACTTTCACATTTGACCGAACTTGGCGCGCTTTTTTCGGTCTTGGTTCGTGCGGCAGCTTCCATTGAGATTATTGAGCTTTGGTTTCCACGTCGTAACCATAAACCCACGATTCGTCACCAGTTATGACCCTCTGGAGCAAATTTGGGTCGTCGCGGTCAGAGTTTAACGTCTCATTAGCAATGTTCATGCGATGTTCTTTTTGGTCGCAATTGAGCAATTTTGGTACGAATTTCGCGGCGACCCGTCTCATGCCCAAATCATTGATAAAAATCGAATGGCACGAGCCAATTGATATGTTTAGGTCCTCAGCAACTTCTCTAACGGTGATTCGAAGATTGGCCAATACCATTTTCTCCACTTCATTAATTTTTTCGTCTGTTGTTGAAGTGCTCGGCCTTCTGAGAACATTTTGTACCACCGATAAACTTTGCTTTGGTCCAAGGTAGCTTCTCCGTATGCCACAGTCAATATTCGGAATGCATCCACGCACCTAATTTCGTTTTTCACACAAAATTTGATACAGGTTCTTTGATCCATTTTTTTGAATAGGTAAAAATCGAAGACGATTCAAAACACTTGCAAGCAAAGCAGCTGTCAACAATTAAGTGAACATTCAAAATGGCTGAGCTTGTCGGCATAAGTGAGAGACATGAGTACCAACATAACGCCACAAAAAAATTGAAATTCGATACGAGGTAACCCGCGAAAATTCAAAATTCGCGATACTTTTTGAACATGTTGAAACGTTAATAAATTATAATAAAACAATAAATTATAATCGAAGCAACAGTCCCCTTTTTATGAGATTAAAGCTGGATTAAAAAAAAAGGATTTTAATGTTAAACAGGCTCGACATATATTAGACATGAGTACCAACATAAAGCCACAAAAAAATCGAAATTCGATACGAGGTAACCCGCGAAAATTCAAAATTCGCGATACTTTTTGAACACACCTCGTATACTGCGTGCAATAACTACATAACTTTTGGTAAAGTTTCAGCAAGATAGCTTGAACACTGAGAGACTAGTGTACACACATAGAAATAGGCAAATGGATATACGGACAGGCGAACAAATCTAGTTTGATTCAGATTGTGAAGTTGATCCAGATTATATATACTTTGTGGGGTCAAGGATGTCCTTAAAATTTTATTTGCTGCAAATTACCTACAAGAAATCCGTTGTAAAATATCAATATTCTGGCTCTAATACTTTTCAAACGGGTTTACAAATCAGATTAAAACTCCTCCGGAAAATACTCTTACGTGTACTGCATATCTTTAAAACCGCGAGACTTATACCGCCGAAGCAAACAGAAGTGGGAAGTATTTTTTCACTGCATATTAAATTCTTAAATGAAATTATAAAAAAAAAAATAATAATAGTTAAATATTAATTTATTTAATTCTTCTATATTTTTTTAAGTTTTAAGGATGAACAAAATTTACCAGGTATGTAAAGGACATTTTTATGGACGGATCAAATAAAATACACCTTTTATTGGCAATATATTCTCATCCGAATTTGGTGACGGTGAATTTACTTAAATTATAATTTACTAGAGGTCCTGTGCCCGCTTCGCTGGTCAACACAATTTAACAACATAATAGTCAATGTTGCACGTCCAATTCCTATTCGTCTAACAGCAGGCATTATTTCAAATTGTTTAAGCTCGCTCTATTTTTTGTTTAAATATTTTTTTACCGACTTCATCGATACACAAAATCAACGCAGCTATGATCTTTTTTTTTACATACAACATTGTGTACATCTGTTGAGCCGCTAGCGACTTTTCCAGAAGGTTTTCCCAAAATTTTCTTATGCTTAAACCTTCTTCTGGTTCTAAGCTATCTCCCTACCAATTTTCAGCCAAATCGGTCAAGCCGTTTTCATGTGATGCGATTGCGCACATATTTTGTCTCCATTTTTATATATATAGATTACAATTAAACAAAAGAGTACGCTATAGTTGTTTCCCGACTATCAGTGACCTGTTACCGAAATATGGAGCCGGATGTAGGGTGCCTGCATTGGATTAGGTCCCTGCATTGGGATAGGTTTGGGTACCGAATATGAAGAGGCCCAGAGAATGACAAGCGTAAAAGTGTGCTTGGCACTTTGCTTAAAACTTTATTCGCTACGTATCTATAGAATCTTATGTTAAGTCCCAGTATTTCATCTCTAAAAATTTACAAGATATCGACTTTTGAACAGAATACGCTCAATCCAAAAATATGATACAAATTTTTTTTAAATGAAAATTGTGTAGTTGTGGGCATAGCACAAAAACTTAAAAAACTTGCGCTGCAAGTCTTCTTCAATTACAAATCTAAATTTGTAATCCAAATTTACTAGTCTCTCTCTAATCCCTGAGTTCATATGTTATGTTACATACTTTACAACAAATAAAGTTTTCCCTTCTACTACAGATTAAATAAAACAAAGTATTTTTTGTATTTACAATATGGGGGCTCGGGTCCCTCTAAAAAATACGTCTACCCTTGAAATTGCACATGTCATCTACACATACGCCTGTCCATTGAAGAATCAACTCACTATCGACTCATGCTTGTAAATTATACGTCTCTTCAATTTACATTTACCAGTTTATTTATACAATTCAACGACTTTAATTGCTTTAAAGTGTATGTGGTCAAAGTGTTTAACATTTTTTTGGAATTGATAATTGAGCAGAATTATACGAAGTATGTATAAAAGAACGCTAAAGAATTTTCGATGCCTAGTTGCAAATTGTTCCGCAATTCGCTTATACGGATTTTATATATTTACTATTCACTGGGGAGGTTTCGATTCAACAGATACTTTAAGAAGTGCTTACCTCAAAAATATAAAAATATATAAAACAAAAGAACAAAAATGGAAGTTCAAAAAAATAAGAAATATTCTAGGTCGTTTCCCGATTCGGACGGCGATGATATAGTGATATCCGGAATGTCCGGAAAATTTCCAAACTGCCGAAACATAACAGAATACCAGTATAAGCTTTATAATAAGGTAAATAAGAAATCTGAAACACACACAAAACTACAAAAAAAGTCAAAATATAACAATAACAAAAAACTGAAATTGTGAAATGGATTTCACAATACATCTAAAAAAACTTTCGCCGTTTGGTACACATTAAAAGTTTTCCTAACATTGATTTTAAAATTACAAAAACATCAAAATATAACAAAAACAAAAGAACTAAAATTGTGAAATGCTTTTTACAACACATTTCAAAATTTAAGTATTTTTTAAAATAAATTACATTGAATGCTTAAGCTCTGTTTGTTTTATTTTAAGCCTTTATTCAAATTCATTCAAAACAAGAAAGCTTGTTTAGCTTCGACAACCCGAAGCTTATATACCCTTGCAGTCATCAAATATGTCGATCAAAATGCATAAGGGCTAAGCATCATTGAAACTATGACGATTTTTCTTTTAATTTTCCATATTTTCGACTATTGATCATATAGCAGCTATATGATATAGTTGTCCGATTTTGATGAAATTTAATATGCAGTTCAAGAGCAGTTAGAAAACTCTATATTCCAAAAATTATGCTTGTCTGATGAAAAACAAGGATAAATTTCTATATAGATTTTTCGATTTTTCCTATGGCCGCTATATGATAACGTTGTCGGATTTTAATGAAATTTTTTTCTCGATTCAAGAGTTATTAAAAAACTCTATGTTTTAAAAATCATGCTCGTGGGATTAAAACCAACGACGTTATAATTTTTTTCCATATATATACATATTTTTTTTTTTGATCTTTTGTATGGCAGCTATATGGTGGAGTTATCCGATTTTGATAAAATTTTATCCGAAATTCAATAGTGGTTAGAAACGGCCATCTGGAAGAAATCAAGTCGATTTAATCAAAAACAACGGCGTAAGAATTTTTTATTTTAATCTCTTGTATGGGAGCTATCCGATATAGTCGGCCGATCCGCCCCGTTCCGACTTATATACTGCGTGCAATAACTACACAATTTTTGGGAAAGTTTCAGCAAGATAGCTTTAAAACTGAGAGACTAGTTTACATAGAAACCGACAGACGGACAGACGAACAGACAGACGGGCAGACGTATTTGGATTCTGATCGTAATGCTGATCAAGAATATATATACTTCATAGGGTCTGAGGTGTCTCCTTCGCTGCGTTACAAACTTCTGACTAAAATTAAAATAAAAAAATTAATGTCTGAGGCAACGTGATTTTTATTTCAGTTGTTTGAAATTGATGATCCTCTTTTTTGTCCGTCAAATATATATTCTTTTCCTATTGCCGGGAATTTCCCTCTTCTGGTTTTATCCCGTCCAAATGCATTCGAACCAAACACTCTCAGGTTTTTACAGAAGGCTTCCGACAACTGTTCCGAATGCAGGCGGCTGTTTGTACTGCTTCTGCCCACAGATACTCCTCCAAACGGGCGTGTATCAATAAACTTAATAAACTCAAGGACAAAAATCAATAAAAAAAAAAAATGTGGACTTATTCGAATAAATTCAGAAAAAGGCAAATCACACATCAATCTTTAATCAGTACGTGATTGTGCAAGAAAAAGGTACAGTACAAAGTATAAGGTCACAATTAACAGTTACTATAATGTTTAAAAAAATTGAAGCATTATTTATGTTTCACATAAAATATCTGCAAATAGCAAAATGTGAATACAGTATGTATTTTCCTACAGAACATACACCTTAAATGAGTAACTTCCTTGATTTTTTCTTGGCCAAACGGTCGAGAACTTCCTCCGGATCAACAACAGTATCCCAGTGAATTGACATCATCGCGAGTGCACTTAGTCTGTCGTGGCCCATCACACTACGAGGTAGAGTTTTTATCCTCTTCATTGTTGAAAACGTTCTTTCAACGCTAGCCGTTGTGACTGGAAGAGTAGCCATGACCTTGAGAAAAAGATTTATCCCGCGAAAAAATGTTCCATCACAACACTCCAACAGTCTCAAAATTTCGGTTGATGGGTCAATTGATGACATTTTGGCACACCATACCAGCCGACGACACTACCTTGTATAATTCTACCATGCTTGGTGCGAAGAGTGGGGGACGCGTGTCACATGGGATTTGTTGAGAGTGGGGGGTTACGTCTCTGCTTAGTTTCAGTCTACTGATCTATACATACGTTCCTGGGGGGCCCGGGATACGTGCCTGACGCCACTTCACTGCAATTTCACTGTCGTCTTGTGCTACGCATAAATACTCGAAACTGTTGTCCACTTCGTAAACGTATAAATTGTTTTCTTTTCTTGCACGCAGCATTTTCTCTTATTTGTTGTTTCTTAGTACTGCCATTTTTTTTTTTTTTAATGTAGCGAAATTTTTGTATGCTGCTACCTTACTCACTGAGAAAAAATTCATTTGCAACTCCGGCACATATAAAACATTTTGCAAAACAACCCTGCAGTTCCAAAAGTGCCTTGTCGTGGATGACATGTACGACTACCCACTGATGTCAGTGTCCGAAGCACATGGATCCGCACTGATGTCATTTCATATAAAGTTGTTGTATGGCATTAAGGATTTGACATGCATGTCGCTCTCGATGACCATTTTGTCCGAGTCATCGAGCGAGGCATCGATGGCTTATACGAATTTTGTATAGAGAAAATTCATATAAGCTATTGATGCTTTCGTTGCTGGCGTGGAGGCGATGTTGTAATCTATGCCAATGTCTAAAATGTCATCCCCAAATTCATATGAAAAACAATATATATAGGTATATATTTTTTTTTATTTTATTAATTAATCTTATTTTGAAACATAAGAGATAAGTACATAAATAATATGAAATTAGAAAGTTTTTGTTTACCATTTATATGGAATATTTGCAGGACAACGGCTGTTTTGCGTCCATCTATGGTACAAAAATATTTTTATTATTACATATTATATACATATGTATTACTTTTTTTAATTTAAAACAAACTTACCTTTCAAACGAATTTATCGTACATACAAGCTGAATCCTAAAAAGATTTAAATAAGTTTGTAGTAAAAGACATAATATTTTTGTAATCTTACCGACACTTACATGATTTTTAAACAATTCCGCTGCCCGTTGCGCAAATTAAGTAGTTTCACAACTAACTGTCAACGCACAACGCAAAAGAATGACCAGTTCAATTTTATTTTGCACCCTTTTAGTATACCCTTCTTTTTTGGGTATAACCGACCATAAATGACACGCGAGTAATATTATATCTATATTTGCAATCAATGTTATGTTATGGTTATCTTGGTTCAATAATTTAAATAATGTTGTATATATAAAATATATTATATGTGTATATAACTTTATATATACATATATTATATTTAATATTTTAAGAACTTTAACATCAAAAGAGTATACATAAGTCGAGCGCCCCTAAGCCGTATTTTCCATCGAAAACCAATTTTTTGGTTCTAACGGAGAATGACAACAGTGCAATTAGAAAAACGAAAGAATAGAAGACAAATTTGGAGTCGGGCCGCCGTCGGGTGGAAGCAACGAGATCGTATTCGAAGAGTGAGAAAGAGGGGGAAACTTAGGAATATCCCTTTTCCTTTCCTACACATTGATTGCTTGTATGCCAAAAGACACCAGGTGACTGGGAATGTTGTTATTGTTCTCTCGACATTTTACTGTTCCAATACCGGGTAACTGTTCATATTTTTCGGCTGCCAGCATAATTATTGATTCCGTTTTGGTAATTGACACGAACAAATTTATGGTATGTCGCAACTCGTGTGAGCAGGGGCACAACTTTTGCGGCACCATGAAGTTTTTCGTTGCTCTTTTAGTTGGCAGTGTATTAAACGGTCGGATTGCTCGTTTATCTTATATTCCTTTTCGGAGTTTCTATTGTTTCTCCACTAAGCCGCTCTATGGCCGATACGCTCACACTTGAAACACTTATATGTGCACTTTTCGTTCTTCTTCGCGTCCCTTTTGACTTCTTTTGGAGTATTTGTAGTTTAACCTCCACCAGGTCGAACGAAGGCAACTGGTCACGTGTTTCTATCGCAACGACGAAGTTCTCCCACTCTTTTGAGAGACTTGACAACAACCCTATTACCGTTAGCTCATCATTTATATGTATTTCCATATCAGCCAATTTATCCGACATTTCTGAAAATAAATTTATGTACATGCTGCGCCACATTGTCATCACCTTGCATATTTTTGTCCCGCTGGAGAGTGATATTATTTTTTTTTATTTTCCCTCAGTCCTGCTTAGCTAAGGTACATTATTTAATGTGCAACAACTGCGTGGACTTTACGTTAATACAGTAGAATCCGGTTATAACGACTTCCAAGGGACCGACCATTTTTCGTCGTTATAACCGGAAGACGCACTAAGCAAAAGGAGGAATAAATTTTTTTTTTTTTGATTATTTTATGGTTGCTGTGTTTTTTATAGGTTTTTAAAATAAATCAAATTAATTTTTTAATTAAAACGAAAAATTTAATAAATTAAATTCAAAAACATAGGTTTTTCTAAATATTGAAAACTGAATGAGCTTATTATTGCACATATTGCATTTGGCAAATTGAAACATTCAGTTTTACTCGGAAAAAAGCAGAAAAAACTAGAAATATAACGGGACATCTCATGAAATTGACTATGAGGTCTGCACACACAGTGTGACGTCGGCATTGCACTTCGACTCTCTCTCTCTCGCAGCAGCGTTGTTAAGGCAACAGCTAAAACTAACAGAGAGTTGTGCCAGTGCAAGATCCTTCGTGTCGCTGCTACGCACACAAGCAAGGGTGCCGATCACTGACAAATACATACAATTCTAACAGCGTGTTTTGATGCTTAAGTTTTGAACTATGACACTGTATTTTTTCCGGCACGACGCAATATCCGGTTAAATTTTCCAATTTTCCTGAAAAATTTCATTCTTATAAGCGGTTTGTCGCTAAAAGCGGAAACGCTTTAAGCGGAGGCCCTTTCATATAACTTTGTATGGGGACCAACCAAACCATCGAGTTTTCGTCGCACAACCCGGACGGACACTATAAGCGGAGTCGTTATAACAGGATTCTACTGTATAAGGCATGCCAATGCCTTTTGGTCGACAATATCCCAGCCAGTGTGTGCTGATTCTGCGCTGATGCAACTAGATAGATATTTAAATCTCAGAGAGGTATCCCTCTTTTAAATCGGATACAAATTAAAAAAAATTATGGGCTAAGATGTGGCCTTTCCGACTTACCGCAAACCATGTTCCACAAACTTGCCGTTATTAGTAAGCTACGCATAGACATATACCATACGTCATATTTATTTTCGGATAACTTATCGATTTGTAGAGAAACACTTTTGGTTACAATTTTGGTTTTGATGTAAATTAATCTTATATCCGCGATTAAAGTTTATTAGATTCCGGTGGTCTGGGCCCATAACCTACCGGTTTTAAGTTCGCAATGGTAAAACATTAAAACATGGAGAGCTCAGAAATGTACTTGTGTTTCATTCAATAGTCGCAGTTGGAAAGGGAAGAGGGTAGCGGCATATACAAAATGCTGGCTTAACATGATCATAACATTCTATTTACAGAATGTTACTTTTTTGCAATACTTATATATATATATACAGTAGAATCCTGTTATAACGACTCCGCTTACAGTGTCCGTCCGGGTATTGCGACGAAAACTCGATGGCTTGATTGGTCCCCAGACAGACTTATACATTTATATCCTTTTGCTTAGTGCGTCTTCCGGGTATAACGACGAAAACTCAATGGTGCCTTGAAAGTCGCTATAAGCGGATTCTACTGTATTTCAATCTTTCCTATGGCAGCTATACGATTCTGATAAAATATAATTCGAAATTCGATAGTAATTAAAAAACACCGGGGTGAAAATTTTTTTTCAATCTTTCGAATGGGAGCTATTTGATATAGTGGGCCGATTCGGTCCGTTCCGACTTATATACTGCATGCAATAAGTACACTTTTTGGTAAAGTCTCAGCAAGATAGCTTTAAAACTGAGAGACTAGACAGATAGACGGACGAAAGGATAGATTGAAAGACATACAGGCCTATTTCGATTCTGCTAGTAATACTGATCAAGAATATATATACTATATGGGGTCTGAGGTGTCTCCTTCATTGCGTTGCAAAACTTCTGACTGAAATTATAATACCCTCTGTAAGGGTATAAAAATCGGCAATACAAATGCTGCAAATGCAAATGCAAATTACAAGGCACTGTTAATATGTGTTGCAAACTGATATGTAGCTTATTTTAATTTTAACAAATAGTAGGGGAATGTTGTCAGGGTTGGGCCATATTTTGACCTATGTCCATAAGTTCTGAACGAATGACAATTTAGAATAAGTTTATACATTTTTGGAAAGGTACAAGCAAGAGAAAGTGTTCACCAAAAATAGAAAATAAAAAAACAAAAGCAAAAAAAGTTATAGGCGTTTGAAAAAAAAAAATGTAGTCAGAGTTGGGACATGTAGTCAGGGTTGGGCCACCTTCAGAAAATCATTGACAATATCGTAACGTGGTGGAATAAAATTGAATTCAGGTAAATCTGACATTATTTTGTTCATTTATTTAATTATTTTGGATTTTACAGTAAATATCAAATTATTCAGAGTTGTTTTTCGTTTGTAGCGAGAAACACTAAAGAAAAAGATAAAAATGATTCATCTTTTTTCAATCCATCAAAATATTTTTTTAAGGAAATCTATTTAATTTGTTTTGCATATTTTTGCTACAAAAAACTTAAATATTACAACAAAAATCGAAAATACACGAATAAAATGTAAAAATTAAGATGGCCCAACCCTGACGACATGCGGTATTAATCTATTATAGCCAAACTATATCTATCAATGAAACTTAGTATTATGTAATATGACATGTTGTAATCTTGTGTTATTCCACCTTTTCGGCCAGGTTAGAAAAACTTTTTCGATAACTTTTTTCACAGAACAACGACACGTAGAAAAATGAAATCCCGAAATAAGTAGTCATGTGGAAAGTTTCGAGTGACCGATAGAAGTTTCTAGACACCCACTAACAGATGGTACTAGAACGAATATTCAAAATATTGAGATGGCCCAAGCCTGACAACGGTCCAACCCTGACAACATTCCCCTAGCCATGGTACAATTATACAAGTTAGTCTCGTCGGCAAAAACATGGTACAATTATACAAGGTAGTCTCGTCGGCAAAAAGCACTCCCTTATTCATTACTCACCACAAGTGCGAGTGAGAGGAGTCTGCGTAGTAAGTACGAGTGAAACGACAAAAGAGCTTTTTGCTTAGCCCTTAGATGGTGCATGGGTCTTAAATTGTTCATTTATAGTAAAAAGAGTTGAAGTTTTTTATAATTTAATTTTTAATAGTTTTGAATTGGAAAGTAATCGTTGTTTCTGTTTTTGTAAAGATATTTTTTGTTTAGATTCTTAATTTTAAAATATATGCGAATCTTGAAGAAAAATTTTTTAATATATAAATTTATGTTTATATTCTTAGAAGCTATTAGTAGTTTATCCTTAACATTTTTTGTAATACTAAAATAATCAGAAACAATATTTAAAAATACAATTTCCAGCTCCTTAATTTTGTCCATGAAATTTATGGATGGTTTTATAAGGCCTCCATGCGAAATCTCGTCGATGAAGGTAAAAGATGAGTTTTCGGCAATCTCATTCGAAAGTCTCATTTTTTTAATAACATAGCCTGCTATGTACTCTAAGGCATTCTCCGTCAACTCGTCTAATTTGATATTTTCTGGAATGCTTGTATTAATATCTTCAAAATCTTTAAGATCGTCCCCATCACTTTGTGAACTTTGGTTTGATTTTGATTTTAAGTCAAGGTTCAACCAAGTGTCGCTGCTGTCTTCATCGACATTCTGATTATTTGACAACATTTCTGGCTAAATAAAAATAAGGATTATTAAATAAACAAAAAAGGGACAAGAAGTAAAGGGAAACATAAATCACAAAACAACACATTATACAGATAAAAACTACAAACAATCACGATCCAATCTTTGCTGAAACATAGAGCTAAACATTTGACAATTAGTATTATTAATTAATTGGTTATTATTATTTTATTTTGTCATACCTGTTATGTATTTTCTTAACCTATACTTAAATTGAAGTGGAGTTGGATGGTCATATTGCCCACCTCTTGATCGCATGGCACCAAAGAAATTCTCGACAATGTCCTGGTTTAGACGACTGGTTAGGATGTATTTCATTTTGTATTTCTCCGATAAATATCCATGCAAGCCGTCAATGAACGCATTGTTGAATAAAATTCCCTTTTGAAAGGGCAGCCTATGGGTTTTACCAACTATATTTGTGCGCATTATCTCAGAAATTTTAGCCAAATTGCCTCGTTGGATCTCAATTTCTTCACCATAGGGCTTACTTGTTTCAATACAATTTGACGTGAAGTGTTGTTATTGCACGCAGTATATAAGTCGGAATGGGCCGGATCGGCCGACTATATCGGATAGCTCCCATACGAAAGAATAAAATAAAAAAGGTTAAACGCCGTTGTTTTTTATCAGATCGACTTGATTTCTTCAAGATGGCGTTTTCGAACTGTTATTGAATTTCGGATTAAATTTTATCAAAATCAGATAACTCTATCATATAGCTGCCATAGGAGAATTCGAAAAATATATATAGAATTAATGGAAATAAATTTATAACATCTTTGTTTTTTATCCCGCGAGCATGATTTTTGGAATATATAGTTTTTTAACAACTCTTATACTAAAAAAAAGTTTCATAAAAATCGGACAACTATATCTTATAGCTGCCATAGAAAAGATCGAAAAATCTATATAGAAATAACGGAAATAAAATTATAACATCGTTGTTTTTCATCAGACAAGTATGATTTTTGGAATGTAGTGTGTTCTTACGACTCTTGAATTACGAATTAAATTTGATCAAAATCGGACAACTATATCATATAGCTCCCATATGGAAAATATGGAAATATGTAATATATGGAAATAATATGGAAAATGAATAGAAAAATCGTCTTAGCTTCGATTTTGTTTAACCTTTATGCCTTAACCTTTGTACCTTTTGTTTGACATATTTGATGACTGCAAGGGTATAGAAGCTTCGACTTGCCGAAGCTAGCTTCCTTTCTGTTTTTTTTTGTTTTTTTTTTTTTTTTTGGCAACCTTTTTTTAATATCTGAAAAATTAATTTGTTGTTTTTAAAAATACGATTCGAATTTCAGATAGACATGGTTGATGATGATGAACGCCGTTGGCGTCACTTTAATCCGGAAATACCAAAAAGATCTGGAAAAATAGGTGAACTTGAAAAATTTGACGCAACTTTTTTTGGAGTCCATTTTAAGCAAGCACACACAATGGATCCTCAAACACGAATCCTTATTGAGACGGCATATGAAGCTGTCATTGATTCAGGAATAAATCCAAAAAGTCTACGAGGTTCAAAAACTGGAGTGTACATAGGATCTTGCATATCAGAATCGGAAAAAACGTGGTTCTATGAAAAGGTTTCATCTGGCGGATTTGGAATCACTGGCTGTAGTCGTGCTATGATGGCTAACAGAATTTCCTATTGCTTGGGACTTGAGGGTCCTTCTTTTTTACTAGATACAGCGTGTTCTAGTTCGATGTATGCATTAGATAACGCGTTTAGTGCTATTAGAAATGGAGAAATTGACGCGGCAATTATTGGTGGATCAAATTTACTACTTCATCCATTTGTAACACTTCAATTTGCACGGTAAGTAAAAATAAATATATATTTATCAAATAGTATTATTTGAAATAACATTTTAGACTTGGCGTTTTAGCGCCAGATGGCTTTTGCCGACCATTTGATAAAAGTGCTAGTGGTTACACCAGATCGGAGACCATTAACTGCTTATTCTTACAAAGAAAAAAAATGCTAAGCGTGTTTATGCAAGTGTAGTTTATTCAAAAACTAACTGTGACGGATATAAGCCAGAAGGTATAACATATCCGTCTGGTATTGTACAAGAAAAGCTTCTTGACCAGTTCTACAAGGACATCGACAATAAGCCAAATGACTTGGGCTACTTGGAGGCACACAGTACTGGAACTGTAGTCGGTGATCCAGAGGAATGCAAGGCAATCGATAATGTTCTATGCAGTCAAAGAGAAGAGCCTTTATTAGTTGGTTCCGTTAAGTCAAATGTTGGTCATTCCGAAGCCGCTTCTGGAATTTGTTCATTAGTAAAAGCTTGCTTCGCCTTTGAATCTGGATTGATTGCACCAAACATCAATTTTACGGAAGTTAAACCGGAAATTATTCCATTATCAGAGGGAAGATTAATTGTTGTTAAGGATGTTACGCCTCTACCAAAGCCCTTTATTGGAATTAACTCATTTGGATTTGGTGGTGCTAATGCACATGCACTTTTAAAGGGTTATCCCAAATCGAAAAATAATTTTGGATTGCCACAAGATGAAATACCTCGACTCCTAACATGGGCAGGAAGGACGGAAGAGGCAGTAGAAGCGATTTTTAATGCTGTAGAAAAAAGGCCTTTGGATGCAGAGTTTATTGGATTGCTTCAAAATATTCAAGAAGAAGATGTTTCTGGTATGGTTTTTCGCGGCTATGCTGTGTTTGCCAAACAAGGAGTCCAACCGTGTCAATCATTAAAAAGAGAAGTTCAGCATTACACTGGCCTTCAGCGCCCAATCGTCTGGGTTTACAGTGGGATGGGCTCACAATGGTCTGAAATGGGAAAATCACTTATGATTATTCCTCGTTTTCGAGAGTCAATTGAAATATGTCACCAGACGTTACTGTCGAAAGGCCTCAATCTTAAACATATATTGTCCTCAAATGACCCGGAAATTTTCCAAAATATTTTGCATTCGTTTGTGGGAATAGCTGCGGTGCAAATCGGTCTAACAGATGTCTTACGCTCTCTAAATTTTGAGCCAGACTATATCATCGGCCATTCCGTTGGTGAATTGGGCTGTGCATACGCTGACGGTGGACTGACGCCTCAACAAATGATATTGGCTGCTTATTATCGCGGAAGGGTAAGTGTGGATCTAGAAAAAATCAAGGGTTCAATGGCAGCTATTGGGATCGGCTATAACACTATTATACACATGCTGCCAAAGTCAATTGAAGTGGCTTGCCATAATGGTCCGGACTCTTGCACAATATCTGGTCCAATCGATGATGTCACCCAGTTCGTAGATGAACTAAAAGCCAAAGGTATTTTCGCAAAAGAGGTTCCATGTTCAAACATTGCGTATCATTCAAAATATATCGCGCATATGGGGCCACCACTTCTGAAGTATATGCAAGAAATTATTCCAAGTCCCAAGTCTAGGACTATAAAGTGGTTGAGTACTAGTGTTTCTAAGACAGATTGGGATAAAAACCATGCAAAATATTGCTCTGCCGAGTATCATACCAATAACTTATTGAACAGCGTTCTTTTCGAAGAAACGTTTTCATTGCTTCCTAAAAACGCCTTGACTGTTGAGATAGCGCCTCATGGGCTTTTGGGAGCCATTCTCAAACGATCGATGCCGAGTGGAATACATATACCACTTACAAATAGAGGGAACAAAAATAACGCCTTGTTTTTTTTGTCGGCCCTTGGAAAGTATGTATACATTATATAAAAAGTTGTTAAAAATATAACTGTATTTTGTTGTAGAATTTATCAAAATGGCGTATTACTACAAGTTGCTAACTTATATGAAAAAATAGAATTTCCTGTATCGCGCTCCACACCCAGTATTAGTTCGCTTATTCAGTGGGATCACAGTGAAGACTGGTTTGTGACGAAATATGAAAATATGAAAACAAAGTCGAGTGGAGAACGTGTTTTTCAAGTTAATTTGTCGAGTGATAACGAAGAGTTTTTGAGTGGGCATATTATAGATGGAAAAATTCTTGTACCAGCTACTTGTTATCTTCAATATGTTTGGGAAACGTTTTCTCTTATGTATCACGGTCCGAGTTATATGGATGTACCTGTTGAATTCGAAGATATAAGATTCTTAAGAGCTACAAGTTTGCCAGCTAATGGAAATGTCGAACTTACCGTAATGATTCACTATGGCACCGGCCAATTTGAGGCAAGTAAATTTCTGCATCGGTTCAAGCATTATATAAAATTATATATTATTTTAGATAACGGAAACGGGTACCTTAGTTGTTACTGGAATTATACGTGAGACCGAAAAACCCACTGTTCCGGAAGTTTTTCATTTCGAAAATGAGTCTAACTTTCCATTGATTTCAAAGAGAGACTTTTATAAAGAGTTAAAACTACGTGGTTATCATTATAACGGAGCATTTAGAGCCGTTCAAATGGCTCGTTCAGATGGCTTGTATGGAAAAATTGAGTGGAATTATAATTGGGTTACTTTTATGGATTCGATGCTTCAAATTCAGATACTGGGAACTGATTCAAGAACTCTTTTATTGCCAACCAAAATCCGGAAGCTAAAAATAAATGGAGTGCATCATTTCAATTTGATGACCCAGATGAATCCAGAGAACCGCGTTTTTGAAGTTTATGTCGATCACATGTATGATCGGATCGTAGCAGGAGGAATAGAACTTGTTGGATTACATGCCAGTCCTGTGCAAAGACGTAGACCTCCTGGTATTCCAGTTCTGGAAAAATATGTCTTTCTTCCACATTTCCCGTCACCAATTCTTTCTTTGAAAAATGCTGCTCGTGTTTGCGTACAAATCGCTCTAGAAAATAATCCTACCTTAAAAATGAAGTTGGTAGAGGTTGATACGAATGGTAAGAAACCAATAGCAACAGAATTTTTAGACTCAATTGAAGATTTACCAGTCATTACTGGAGACTATACTTTGTTAACTTCCCAAAGTCTAGACGACATTCCAGGTGTTCATATTGAAAATGGAAATTTGTCTTTCCAAACACGTTGCCATTTTGTCATATTGGGGGAACTTGAGACGGATGAAATACCTGAAAAAATTGAAACTACACATAATGTGCTAACCGACAATGGATTTGTCCTGCTTAGGCAAAAGTGTAGAACCAATATAGCAGCATGGGAAAAATCGGAGAGATTTAGAAAAATATCAATAATCCCGATCGATAACCACGAAGAAACATTTTTCTTATTGCAAAAAGTTTCTACGAATCTTGCAATTAAACCAGTAATAGTGGAAGTATCTGAAAATGTTGAGAATTTTGATTGGATTGAAGTATTACAATCTGCGATAAAAAGCAAGTCACCAGTTATTGTGTATTCATTTAATGAAGCCTTTAATGGGCTTATTGGATTAGTGAACTGTTTGCGAAAAGAGCCTGATGGTAATTTGATAAGATGTTTCTTTGTTGATGACGAACGTGCTCCTGGTTTCGATTTGTCCCACCCATTTTATTCGGCTCAATATTCACTGGGCTTGGCATTTAACATATACCGCAATGTAAGAATAATGCTATATTTGTTTGATATTTAAATTTATGTGTTTTTAATTAGGGTTCTTGGGGTAGCTATAGACATTTGCTATTGCTCAAGAATGAAAAGCCTTTGGCTAGATCGGATCACATCTATGGCAACGTTATTCAGCGTGGGGACCTATCGACTTTACGATGGTTAAAAGGACCCCTTAACCCACAAAATTGCACGATTAAAATAGCTTATTCTTCTCTTAATTTTCGAGATGTAATGCTAGCAACTGGCCGCTTAGCCATTGAACTATATGGAACAAGTCGAATTGATCAAAACTGTGTTCTCGGCTTTGAGTATTCTGGCATTAATACGGTAACTGGACGACGTATAATGAGTATGGTAGTTAAAGGAGGAGTAGCTTCTTATGTGGAGAAGCCATCAAAGCTAATTTGGGATATTCCGGATCACTGGACATTGGAAGAGGCAGCCACGGTGCCAGTTGTATATATAACTGTTTACTATGCGTTTTTTATGGCAACAGACATACGAAAAGGAAAAAGTATTTTAATACATGCTGGTACCGGTGGCATTGGGCTAGCGGCAATTCGAGTGGCTTTGGCGTACAACTTGGATGTTTTTACAACCTGCAGTACTACCCAAAAGAAACAATTTTTGTTGAACACTTTTCCGCAACTAAAAGGTTGTTTTTAAATATTTAAAGGGTAAATTAAAAAATTTTAAATATATTTTGCATTTTAGAATCCCATATTGGAAACTCTCGCGATACATCATTTGAGTTTATGGTACAACGTGAAACAAATGGAAAAGGTGTCGATTTTGTACTGAACTCCTTATCCGAAGAAAAGTTAGTTTCCTCAGTACGGTGTCTTGGTAAGTCAGGACACTTTTTGGAAATTGGAAAGTTTGATATGGCTAACGACAACAAAATTGGATTGGGCTGCTTTTTGAAAGAAATAACTTTTCACGCTGTTCTTGCTGATAGCCTTCTTGTGGCTCCTGATGAAGATATTTGGGTAACAGATTATCAATTGTTTTAAATTTATTTTTAAATTTTGAGTTTTCATTACAGCATTTAAAAGCCCTTATTGATTCAGACATATCCAAGGGAATTATTCAACCATTACCTGTAAAAGTGTTTCCAGCTCATGAAATTGAACATGCTTTTAGACATTTGATTGGGGGAAAGCACATTGGAAAAGTGGTTATTCAAGTTCGTGAGAAACCGGAAGATTTAGCCACTTTACCTGTGGCGGTGCTCAGTCAAATTTACTTTAAGCATAATCTTACATATGTAATCCCCGGTGGTCTTGGCGGCTTTGGAATGGAATTAGCTGATTGGATGGCACTTCGTGGAGCTCGAAAACTGGTCCTAAGCTCTAGTCGTGGAATAACTAAAGACTATCAATTGTTTCGTATTGCGTAAGACATTTGTAATATTCTTTTCAGCATATTTTATGTTCAATCGAAATTTTATTTAAAGTCTATGGAAAACTTATGGCTGTGAAGTCGCCATCAGCACCGCTGACATTTCGTCAAAAGAAGGATGTCACCAACTGCTTTCTGAAGCTGATGTATTGGGACCAGTCGGTGGAATTTTCAATCTAGCTGTTAAACTGAGAGACAGCCTTTTCCAAAGCCAAAACTCAATTCAATTTTTAGAAAGTTTCTTGCCAAAAGCTATTGCGACAAAACACCTTGACGAACTTTCTCGAATTTACTGTCCCAAATTGGAGCACTTCGTAGTTTTCTCTAGCGTTTCTTGCGGACGAGGAAATGCTGGTCAAACTAATTATGGAATGGCTAATTCTGTAATGGAACGTATTATTGAGTATCGAAGCAGAGACGGCTTGCCAGGTAAAGCTATTCAATGGGGCGCAGTCGGAGAAGTGGGTTTGGTGGCAGATATGGCTGAGGATAAAATTGATATAGAAATAGGCGGTACTCTGCAGCAAAGAATTTCTTCGTGTATTCAGGAACTGGATCATTTACTTAATGCTGAAGAACCTGTTGTTTCCAGCATGGTCGTCGCTGAGAAACGAGCTGGGCGTTCAGGTAACGAAAGTATAATTGACGTCGTGATGAATATTATGGGAATACGGGATTTAAAATCAGTGTCGTTGGGTACAACACTCTCAGAAATGGGTATGGACTCATTGATGGCAGTTGAAATTAAGCAAACTTTAGAGCGAGACTTTGAGTTAATTTTATCACCACAAGATTTGCGGTTGCTGACGTTCCAAAAGCTTCAAGAGCTTACTGAAGCCAAAGAAAAAGAAAACGCTGATGGAATTAAAATTATTTTTGCTTCAGAGAACAAGCTCTTAGGGATGGAGTTACTGATAAGAAACTTGGGGGACGAAACAAACTGCAAAAGTATAATTATTCCGCTCAAGACTTCTGCAGCGCTTTCAAAACAGAGTATTCCGCCGAACATTATTATACCTGGACTAGAAGGTACAGCTGGACGTGCGTGGTACCAAATAGGGTCTAGATTGCAAAGCAGGGCTATAGTCTTACAACTCCATCAATTTGCGCATATGGAAAACTTAAAGGATATATCACAAAACAGTTTTGAGGTAAGTCAAATTCTTATAGATTATCCTAAAAATAATTACGTGATCTTTCCTTACAGCAAGTTAAACCAATTTTAAAGCAAACAGAACCATTTTATATAATTGGATACTCGTATGGAACTTTTGTAGCTTTACAGCTTGCTGAGATGCTTGAAAATTCGGGCTTCCGTGGACATGTTATGTTGTTAGATGGAGCACCTCACTTCCTCAAAAAACTTACTAATCTGCACTTGGGGGAAAATTTTTCTGATAATGACCTTTATGACCTGCTTTTTTCTAGTATAATCAATCAGATATTCCCTGAGGAAACTAAAGAAAGCATATCTGAAGTTTTTAAGAAGATTAATAGCCTTGAAGAAAAAATGTCTTTATTCATGGGATATGTTGAAAAGCAGAATGTATACAGCAAAGAGTACTCAGCGACTATGGTAGAGGCCATGTTTAAAAGAGTTAAAATGGCTGCTTCCTTTGATTTAAATTGTATAGGAAAAATAAAATCACCAATTACTTTAGTCCGCCCGACTGAGGTTTCACTTCAAGACATTGATGAAGACTATTGTACACCGCAACTGACATATGGCAAAGTTACGCTTAAAATAATAGAAGGGAATCATACGACAATGTTGGACAACCCCTTATTAAGTCAGATTATAAATGATTTTGATCCAGCTTTGTTAGAGGACAAAAGTTTTGAAGAATATATAAGAAATGATAAACCAGTTTCCGTAGTTTAAAAATTACAACATTCAAAACATCACATATATAACAAACACATTTTAATTTTAAGTTATACTGCTTATATTATATTATACTTTATTAAAATAAAAATAAATATTTTTTATCAAATGTACTTATCAAATTAATTGTAGCACAAACAGCAGGCTTAAAAATATGTAGGTTAAGCTATCTTACTTAGCTTTTCTGTTTGTGGAGTCAAGCCAGTTGTTATACCCTTGCAGAGAAAAAGGGTATTATAATTTCAGTCAGGAGTTTGCAACGCAGTGAAGGAGACACCTCAGACCCCATAAAGAATATATATATTCTTGATCAGCATCACGAGCAGAATCGAAATACGTCTGTACGTCTGTCCGTTTCCGCGCAAACTAGTCTCTCAGTTTTAAAGCTATCTTGCTGAAACTTTCCTAAAAGGTGTGTAGTTATTGCACGCAGTATATAAGTCGGAACGGGGCGGATCGGCCGACTATATCGGATAGCTCCTATACGAGGGAATGAAATGAAAAATTCTCACGCCGTTGTTTTTGATCAGATCGACTTGAATTCTTCAAGATGGCGTTTTCTAACTGTTATTGATCGGAATAAATTTGATCAAAACCGGATAACTCTATCATATAGCTGCCATAGGAGAGATCGAAAAATATATATAGAATTAATGGAAATAAATTGATAACATCGTTGTTCTTTATCCCACGAGCATGATTTTTTGAATATCAAGTTTTTTAACAACCTTTATATTGAGAAAAAGTTTCATGAAAATCGGACAACTATATCTTATAGCTGCCATAGAAAAGATCGAAAAAACTATATAGAAATAACGGAAATTAAATTAAAGCATCGTGGTTTTTAATCCCACGAGCATGATTTTTGAAATATGGACTTTTTTAATACCCTTAAATCGAGAAAAAAATTGCATAAAAATCCGACAACGTTATCATAAAGCTTGTAACAACCCTGTCCGGGAGGCGGTATAGCTCGCCGCTGGCCAGGGTTCGAGACAGAATTTCCTATCTAGTTTGGCCCCTCTTCAAGATCGGGTTACCTTCTCCTTTCCCAGAATAACTCGAGGGGGTAATGCGGTGTCGAGGGTGTCTTCGTATATTTTCTCTTTGGCTTAACTAGTATTACAGGGGTATTGATAACGGTCAGGTATTTTGGGGTTTTTGTCGTATATTTGCTTATCCTGAATTATGTCTTAGGGGTATTGATATAGTCTGGTTTGGTCTCTCGGCGCTCTGGCGGGCCGAGAGGTGTTGAGGCGGTGTTTTTTTCGGCACTCGTGGTGGTCCGATGAATATGTCGACGTCCGGTGGTGCTGCAGGGCCGGGCTACGTTGACGTCCGGCGCTGCTGGAGGGCCGGGGCTACGTTGTGTCCGGCGCTGGTGAAGGGCCGGGGCGACGTCGATGTCCGGCGCTGCGGGAGGGATTCCGCTGTCGCGTCTTGTCCTGTTTGTCCGTCAGGGGAACGCTCTACTTAGGTGGGGTCATGCAGCAGGAGTCCAATGCTACTCCGCTTCGCTCCCGGGTCGGAAGCCGGGGCGTGACTTCTGGGAGGAACTCTCTGAGCTGGCCTGACTGATAAATCACACCGGACTCAGAGATCTTGACCAGGCCAAAGGTTGATTATTACTAACCAGACCGGGCGTAGGTGATCCTTCCTAGGTCGCGGACCGAATAAAGATCCGTTCTCTGCGGAAAACCACCACCAGAAATAGAGAACAGAACACTTACCCCTTTTGATGCTGCTCGATCAAACGCCTGGGCACAAGTGACTGGAATGAGGACGTGGCACTGCTTATATGGGCCCCAGATGGTAATTAGTGTGCCCAGATAGCTGGTGGGATTATCCCACGATTACCGATAGTCGTCGATTGTTATCGATAGACCAGGGCTGAGTAAAGAGTTATCGATATCTATCGTTTTATCATCGTCTAGGGCTGCGTAAACTGTTATCGATTGCCCGCGCATTTTGAAATAAGAGCTTTGCATTGTGTTTGGTTTGGTTTATTTATTATTTTATTGTGGCAACGGACCGTCACACTCCCCCCTCTTTGGAGATCGGGGTCTGGGTTGTGTGGACCCTGATGTGTCCCGCTCGCCCTATGCGGATCCGGCTGAAGAGCTCGCCGGAAACAACCTTGTGGGTCCCTCGGGTTCCGGGTCGCCTGGCTGCCTCGAGGTATGCCACCATATCTGCGACCTTTGCCTCGTGTTCCGGGTCTTTCCTTTTTCGGTTCGTCGTCCCAATCGCTCTCCGTGTCGTCATCCTTTTTTTTGTTGTTTCTCGTTGTCCAGTTGTATAGCCGAAAGTCTTCTTGGTGTTCTCCATGGGATCTGGGGTTTTTGTTTGTCGATTAGTTGGTGTCTCTTTGTTCCGGTGGAAGTCGCTGGGGTCTGTCGTGGAGTTTCGGTGGGTGGTGCCTGGTTCGGGGTGTCGTTTTCTTGTGGTTTGGTGCTGATGGTGGGTTGTTTCCGTAGTCCTTGTTCCTTGTTCCGCTGTCCTATTCCTTGGTTTTTGATGCGTGGGTCCTGGTTCTGTGCTGTTGTCGTCGTCGTTTGTCGCGGAGGTGCCTGCCTGGCCACTGGTGCCGCTCGGGTTCGGGTCCTAATCTCAGGCCCTATTGCTTCTATTGCTTGGTCATTTTCTAGTCCGTATGCTTCTGTTAATTCCTCTATCCTGTAGATGAATTCGTCCGGGTCCCCAGTGCCGTCGAATTCCGCTCTCCAGCTACGTATGACTCCCATTGTGGTTATTTTGTCCATTGTGTTCCTTATTGGCGTTGGTGAGGGCTTTCTGTACTCTTGGGTCTGGTTATTGGGTTTATTTATGTACGTTGGTACCTTTTAATGCTACCCGATGTCTCGGGTGTTGGAGACGGGTTTTTCGTGTGCCTTTGGGATAGTTCCAGTAGTCGTCTTGTTGTTTCTTCGTCGTGGTCTTGTCTCGTGAATTTGGACATCTGTCTTTTCGGCTTTGATGTTGAATTCTCTGAGATATTCCTCCAATTGGGATTTGTTTATTGTTATTGTTTTTTCTGCCATTGTGTATTTTTTATTTGGCTTGGGAAGGGGGTAAACGATCTTGGTTGTTATAAGAGGAGGCCACTGTCTCTTGTCTGAACAGTTCGGGCGCTACTGTAACGACCCTGTTCCGGGAGGCGGTATAGCTCGCCGATGGCCAGGGTTCGAGACTGAATTTCCTATCTAGTTTGGCCCCTCTTCAAGATCGGTTTACCTTCTCTTTTCCCAGAAAACCTCGAGGGGGTAATGCGGTGTCGAGGGTGTCTTCGTATATTTTCTCATTGGCTAATATTACAGGTGTATTGATAATGGTTAGGTATTTTGGGGTTTTTGTCGTATATTTGCTTATCCTGAATTATGTCTTAGGGGTATTGATATAGTCTGGTTTGGTCTCTCGGCGCTCTGGCGGGCCGAGAGGTGTTGAGCCGGTGTTTTGTTCGGCACTCGTGGTGGTCCGATGAATATGTCGACGTCCGGCGCTGCGGGAGGGCCGGGGTTGCGTCAGTTTCCGGCGCAGCTGGAGGGCCGGGGAACACGTTGATATCCGTTGCGGCTGAAAAGCCGGGTATTCTGTGCGGCTGAAGAGCCGGCTTAATTCCTACGGCTGAAGAGCCGGGTGCTCCGTGTGGCTGAAGAGCCTGGTTGATCTCTACGGCTGAAGAGCCGGGTGTTCCGTATGGCTGAAGAGTCGGTTGAGTGTGCCGTCGATCGGATAGGGATTCCGCTGTCGCGTCGTGTTCTGTTTGTCCGTCAGGGGAACGCTCTACTTAGGTGGGGTCATGCAGCAGGAGTCCATTGCTACTCCGCTTCGCTCCCGGGTCGGAAGCCGGGGCGTGACTTTTAGGAGGAACTCTCTGAGCTGGCCTGACTGATAAATCACACCGGACTCAGAGATCTTGACCAGGCCAAAGGTTGATTATTACTAACCAGACCGGGCGTAGGTGATCCTTCCTAGGTCGCGGGCCGAAAAAAGATCCGTTCTCTGCGGAAAACCACCACCAGAAATAGAGAACAGAACACTTACCCCTTTTGATGCTGCTCGATCAAACGCCTGAGCACAAGTGACTGTGTTACGAACTGGTTTCTTGGGTGGGCAGTGCCGCTAGCTCAGCGATCTCATTTGGGCCAAATTCTCCCCAATGCCCGCAGTCCGACAACATAAAATACTAACATCGATTACGGTCGTCTCACAACACTAAACTCTCTGCGATCACTAACAAAATGTAAACCAAGCAAAAACGTAAACATTACATACAAGGCGGCGGAAATTCGGATCTTTGGTGGCCATCGGTGTTCTTGGCCACTGCGTACCCACCCAACCTAGGATGCTAGGTAAGTATAATCCACGCATCACCCATAATGGGTCAGTAAGACACTCCAGGCAACTAATTTAATTCCATCTCCCCCACAGAAAAAGGTCTAGCAATTCATCATCATTACAAACTGGCTTTAATTATTCAGGTGAGTATGTATATACAACATTTCGCTTCTAATTTAATTCAATCTAAATCTCTTTGCTCATTAGGCCTCGGACTTAACACTCAACCGCCGTATAAATATTTAGCGGTCAAAGCTAAATTCAAGAACTAAGGAATGGGCACTCACCGACGAAAATGTTCTGCCACCCTTGTATCGGCAGAACTCTCTTTGTTAACGCGGCTTAAATCACGGTCACCTAATCCTGAGGAGCTCCAAGGGAGAAGAAGGGACGCCGAAAGGTATGGGAGATTTACACCCTCTATTCCTTTATCCTAGTTAATGCGACCTTTTTTTATTTCTAGGCAAACCGTCGGTCAAATGAGAATCTTTGGAATAATTCGCACAAGATTTAACAAACAAGGTATTTAAATTTCTTACAGACAACAGATATCATTTAATTTATTTTGAATTGCAGCAAGTGGTGGTTGGGCTCGTCCCACCAGGAAACCGCACCACCAGGAACTCGGAGGCTTATGTGGACGGGCTGGCCAACCTCGTGGCTCCAGCCGCTCGCAACGGAAATTGGCCACTATTTTAAAGGCACCCCGACAAGGAACGGACTCACCGGAGGTTTGGAGTCCGAGAGTGACTACTGGGTCGTGAT